CTGCCCGGGGGCCGGGAATTGAACCCGGGTCGCAGCGGTGAGAGTCCTGCACCCTAACCACTAGACCACCAGAGACCAGCAGGTAGCGAAAGCTGAAATGTATATAAAAAGTAAAATATGAAAATAAGAAGTTATTGCATCAAAAATACTAAAGGCAATAAATCAGGTTATGCCAAAACAAACAGCTTACTTGTCTCCACTGAGTATGTCCACTGGGTAAAGGCAACTTTGAAAAAAATAGTTGAAAAATTAGATTTGCATATTTGACCTCTATAACTTAGGCTACAAGTCTAAATAACCCAGATGGGTTGAAGTACAGTTAATTACAGTCATATAATCCTAGAGTTGTTTTCTATAGGTCAAACATTCAGAAAATTTCTTTCTAAGACATGTTGAGTGAGTGAAGGGTTTAAGGTCTTTGCTGTGGCTTTGTGGAGAGAAATAGAGTTGTTATTTCCAGGAACCAGGAGGTATTCTTGGCATGATGAAACAAAAAGCAGTAGCTTTGTTGAATTGCATTGGCCCAACACAGGATTATTACCAGAGGGGACCTCATCAGTCAACAGACACCTCAGAAGATAAAGAAGTCACTGAGAAATCAGCAAGGCCTTCAGTCAGTCCTTGGGCCTCAAACATACTTTTGTTTAAGAAGAGATGGTAGTCTCAAGGATCTGATGAACAATACTAAATGCAATGTATTCCTTTTTAGTTTTAGAAATAATCTTATTCATTACCCTGAATACATGAGACTCCAGTTGTTACAAAGATTTAATTTCACTTTCTACACACAGCTTTAAAGTGAATACTGCCATGTGCAGATAAACTGGAAGAAAACTGCATTCACAACAGGACCAGACCACTGGCAGTTGCATCTAATGTTTTTTGGCTTGCACAATACATACTTGTGAGACTAATAGAAGAGAGTATTGTGTAGTCTGTATATTAATGACATTCTAGTCCCCACTAAAACTTTGAAATGAGAACTGATAGTAATGTTTGCAAGTATTCTGTGGTAAGTTTAAAGTTGCAAGTCTGAAGTTGAACCCAAAGAAATGTGAATTACTTCAAAAAGAGATCATTTACCTTGCACACATAAGCAGGTTGCGGAAGAGAGGATTTCCACTGAGAAAATAAAGTTGTGTGGTGCACTATCAGCCAATTCACTAGACACTAATAGATATAAAGAGTTTTCTGAGACTGTGCTTTTATTAACCAATTTCTGGAAAGAGATTTTTCCCCCCTCTAATTCTTTGCCCTCTGTGAAACAGTTCTCTAACTGCCACGATGTGCCATCTTAAGGTAAATTGTAAGTACTAACTAAATTTTAATCAAATTTAATTACACTTACAGGTAAATAGCATTGATTTTTTGTAAGTTACCCTAAAAGAGCAGTGAATGGTGGTAACTTTACCAAGTGGCCTCACTTAGAAATTAGACTGAACTGTTAGTGACAGTACTGAGTTATTACAAAAGAAAATGCACATGCCTTGCATAAATCACCAACTCCATTAAAATTCTGGCTTTGGCTAAATAGGTAACAATTTGACACTTTTTTTTCAAGTATGTGGAGGTCATTATTTTTGTACTTTCTTCTAATGACTTATTGGATTTAATAATCTGTTTATCAGACAAGTGAAAAAACTAGCAACTGTGCTAGTCCTGTGGTTCAACCACACACTATTATATTTCCCCAAAATACAATCTTGCAGTTTTTTTCACAAAACTTCAGTGTTAATCTGCAACCCTGTCCTCATTAGGAGAGCAGGAGTAAATCTCTTACAGGAATTTATATGCTTGTGGAGAGATAGATCATTCCTCCATCTATTTGTGGATCACTCAGTGAGAAACTTGTGAGTGCACCTGAAAGTCTTCTTAGCCTCTTCATGATAGGAATCTGTGTCATGGTAGCCTAACGAATGATTAAAAGGTTACTTTAAACATGGCATCTCCTCAAAATGTCCATCTGACCAGTAAGCTTACTGGATTCTGTACCTCCATAACCAATGAAGGGTTTACTGATGTACTTCTAGCTGGAAGATAGGTAAGAAAGGGACCTTAATCAGATATCCTGCTCTGTTTGATGACTTTCCAGTGATAAGCTAAAGAAAACAGTAAACAGATTTTATGGAGTTTCTGAAAATTTGAATAGGAATTACTGTTTGGACTATAGTAGAGCCCTGCTGCAAATCACATACCTTCTCTTGACAAAGTAGTAGCAGATAAGTGCTGGATGAGTGATAACGTTAGCAAGTTACTGGGAGGTATTTCTATCAGTAAGAAAGAAATATGGAGAAATAGCACTTGTAACTCTGCCTTTCTGAAAATAGGTTTTTAAAATACATGGTAGTATCCCAAGAGGTTTAGTGCATTATTTTGTCATAGGAAGAATGATTCACTGTGAATGGTATAGCTATTATTCAGTAGATACATATATTTCTTACAAAGTATTTGAATATATTTTGATACTGTCTGTGCCTGTGGAACATTATGCTATATGGAAATAACAAAGAACAGATTTAGCAGATTTAGATTCCCTTCACAGACTAGCTTTTGCTATACAAATGCAGTCAGTGAAAAAAGATAAATGTATAAAGAAAAAACATTAGTGGGCAGTAAGTATGATGCCTATCATATAAATTCTGTTCTTATGTGATAATTAACAAGGAGGCTGCTTTGGAGTTCAAACGAAGAGGAATATTTAATGTTATGACAGGTGAGCTAATAAACGTAAAAGAAAAAAATCTAAGGCAAGAGAATATATCTTTCTATATATCTTTCTCTAGACTCCTTATTCATAATATTTAGCCAGCTATACTGATCAGCTAGCTGAAGTTGTCAACTGACATTATCCTTTAAGATCTTTTCTAACCCAAGGGATTCTATGATTCTGTGATTCTATGGTCCATGCCTGCTTATCAGTCAGAAAACTCATTTTAACCTTAGCTTTCAAAAGTCAGCTATTCTTACAACAAGGGCAGCCTTTACTTCAGTGTAAAACAGGAAAAAGCTGATGAATGCTCGCATTGTGTTTAGCCACAGAATAGTTTACCAATGGATTAATGAAGATCTTTGCTTAAAAGCATAAGGCTTTTATTACACACTAGTTATTCAAGATGTATGTATAACACCCTCTACAGAATTCTTTTATACTCCTTTTCCTTTATCTAAATCTATTGGTAGCACTGAGTTGATTAGTAAAGTTAGTAATAAGCTGTGACTCAAACTTTCCTTATGGCATGGTCATAGAACAAATTTAGGCTTAATTTCAAGTCATAAACTCCTTTAAACACATCAATTTCCCATGTTCTGCGAAGACAGTTTACATAATATTTAAAATCTCAGCTAGCCCTCCTCCCTAGAATTCAGTTAAATTAATTTAAAAAATAAATACTTATGGTAGTATAATTGAAGTTCAATTCAAATTTCATCTCACAGTTTGAATACCTTTGGGTTTTCTTTTTTGAACAACTTTTTCTGCTTTGTTGGTTATTTCTTTGTCATATTCATATTAGAAGACATATCCCTGGTGTCTTGGTTTAATGACAATCTATTCAGGAGGTTAGACCTCTAATGAGATGAGCCCTCCTTTTTTTTTTTTTTATTTCCCTCCTCCCAGTATAGAGAAAGTAAAACTTATGAGGAGTCTGAACGAAGAAGGGAAAATAACAATTTTACCAAAAAGGGAAAGAAACAAAAACCCACAAGATTAGAAAATATTATCTAGCTATCTGCCTTCCCCCTAGGTTAAAACAAAACCTGGAAGGCTATTTTGCCCAAAGAAGGCCCTATGCTGCTGAGGCGGCGGTGTGGGTTGTGGCATAGCATTGGGTGTCAGTGGTGGGGCCAGGGCTGATCCGGCGTGGTGCTGCGGCCCAGGGGGCTCTCAGCAGGCAAGAGAGCGAAACGGCTGCAGCTGAGACAGTGGCGACTCCCAGGAGGGGAATCCCTGCGCTGGCAGTGATGGCAGCTCTCTGCCTGCTGCGAGATAGCTGCTGAGGCGGCAGCGACTCCGTATGGGGCTGGGACGGCTCGGCTGGGGCCAGGGTGTCCCCGGTCTGATGCAAAACCAGCTCTGAGCTGAGGCAGCCACAGCTGAGGCACGATGGCCCCCTGCAAAGACTCTGAGAGAGAGTCTTCTCTGCAAAGAGAAGGCAATTTTGGCCCCTGCCCCCCTTTTATCTCCTGTCTTCTAAGTTCCCAGGATGCTCCACTGCAGGGACCCAATTTTCCGGTGGGTTCCAAGACACTAGGGACAGCTCGGATGAGGAGCTGTCCCCCATGCTCCAAATTACCTGGTGATATGAAGTATTCATCGCTGAAAATTCTTCCCATTTAACTAAAACTACAACACCTGGTTGTGAGTGAATTGTGAGGAATCCATTTAATTCTTCATTCAGAAGCATCAGGCATTGGAAGCAATATATGCCAGCTCACTCAACTCATAGGAAAAAAAAATCCTGATTAAAAAAATCTTATTGCTGACCTATCTGCTGCCTTGGGAAAAAACCCCCACACCTTGTTGGTTATGAAGTCACTGATCATGTTTCTTAGATTTTTACATACTCTGGGCTGTTTCCATTAAGGTTGCACACTATCCAAATTGACTACTTTACAACAATGTGTGAATTAGGTTGTTGGAATTCAGAGGAGAGTAAAATGAGATTTTTAAATTTTACAACATTCTCAAGCCATTCATTCAAAGATAGATGGAAAGCAACAGTGCCCCACTGTGATAGATTTTGAAGGCTGTTTGAATTGCTAGAAAAAACACAGTCTAGAAATTTAGTCTCTCCTATCTTTCTCCTGCACAGGTTGCTACAAGTAAGGACAGCCGAACTGGCAGAAAGCAAAGACATTGTGAAGCATTTTATTTAAATAATTTTTACAGAAACCTCCAGTTTTGCAAACTAGAAATTTAAATTAAAAGTACTTAATGGATTCTGGCTCTGTCATTTGTTAACATTTGTCGATTGTTAACATCACAATGATATTCTACAAATATGTGGGAAGCTGAGGTCTTTGACATTAGCACAAGTCAAAGCCATTGAGTCACATTGACTTCAAGAGCTTTAAACACATCATTATCTTTCAGATGGGAGATTACTTTGTAGTGATTCTCAGAAACATCTGGAAATACATGTTTTATAAGCCATTACAGTCAACTTTATGAAAATCACTAGTTGTCTTTAAAATGTCTACCTTAGCAGGGCTGCGATTTTGTTTTGCAGAACTGTTTTATTCTGAGAAACAAAGCCAACACATTTGGGGAACTATGCAGCTGCTGCTTTTTTAAATGTTATATAACTAGAGTTCTATTGTTTCCTATGACCATAATAGCAGTAAGAGGAGTTAAGCAGTAATAGCTTTTGGACTGTGATTCTACAGAAGTAGTACAGTTTAATTCTGATTAATATTTAGTAAATAATTTCTAATTATATACTGAGTTAATTTTGAATTAAATAGGCATATTCCATAATTTGAAAACATGCCTGAGTCTTTTTTTAATGGCTACACATAATTCAGGAAGACAGTCAACTGTCATTATGCAGAGGAAGACCAGATTTTAGTATCTGTAATGTTATTGTTGTTTAAAACATTATTCAGATTTAGTTTGCAGTTTGTTTTAATTAATGCTATCTATTACTGAGAACTTGAATTACTTGGAAATTATTTGAACCATGTTTTTGTTTATTTTGAAGGACATGAAGCACTGAATCGTGATGAACAAAGTTCTCTCTTAGAACAGATAAATAACAAAGAGCCTACTCTGATTGAAACAATCTTCACAGTATTGTCTTACTGCACTTTATCGCCCAAATCTCTTGGCATTGCTTTTGAGACCTACATGGAAAAAGAGCAGTTGTGGAATTGCTTATACAGTATGACAGGTATTTAATTTATTAATAAGCATTTAAAATCTGACATTAAACCCTGTTGGTTTTCAGACATGTAGTGAATATTTTTTTTTACCTTGATAAATCAGGTAAAATGATGGTAGTTTATTTCAAAATTATAGTATAATTGAAGTGTTCTGTGCAATCGGGCCATGGTAGGAGTGATGAAAATTTTGAAGAACACAGAGGTTTAGGAGCAGTGTAGTCACTGAGGAGTCTGATTACCTTAAGTGTCTGTCTTACCAGCAGGCTGTCTGCAGAACATTTCTGTAGGTCTCTACCAGTAAAGATTCTTTGTCTCTATGCATTAAGGATTTCAGACCTTTGCCATGATTTAAAAATAAGACAGCATTGACGGAGAGCGGAAAAAGAGAAGGAAGCACTCCTTCTCCTATTGAGGGAGAAATACCCTGATGGGGATATAGACTCTGCTGTCAACAGGCAGAGAGCCTCTTGATTTTCAGTGAAGAGAGAGAGCTGCCCTAACAATTAAAGCAACTAAAACTGTCCCCAAGGAAAAGTAGTATTCAACCAGAAAAGAGGGGTGAGATTTAGAAGGGTGATATTGCAAATTATGCATTAAAAATAGGAAGGTTCACAGGAAAAGAAAGGAAGAAAATGGGAAAATGTAAAAGGAGAAATAGGATTATGAGTATCACAAAATAGAAAACAATGGTGATAAAAGTGCTCAGGTATTCCTCAGAGCAAAACAGGACTGCAAAAAATAGAAGTTTAAGGTGTAAGCTGAAGAAAAACAGAAATGTTGCATGAGAGCTTCCAGAAAGGCCATGATTAGATCAGCAAAAACCACAGAGAAACAAAAGTATGATTGAAGGATCTAACATGTCAAAACACATCTCTGATATGCTCTGCAACACTCTTCCTGACAACTGCAGCTCCATAGCAATGGAGAAACTACAGTTTGCTGTGGTATTAAGAATGTGGAGAAGATTGATACTTGTAATGTCAATAGCTGTACTTACGATGGTCTGTTTTCAACATGCAATCACTGATGACATGCTGTGTTTCTGTTGATGACTATTATTTGTATGTATTTTTGTTTCCAAGATACCTTTTCTTTCTTTGCAGTTCTCTAGTGCAACAGTTTGGGTATCTAATAAATGCAATTTCATTAATCCTTCAAAACAAGGAAATAGAAAAAAAAGGTGTATCTGTTTGTCTCATTGATGCCTAACAAGTAATTAAATGTTTTCCGTATTAAAAAGGAAGACATTAATCAGTTTAAGTTGAATTTTTATAAATCTATCGATGGAGAAATGAGGATGAAGAAAATAAATTGAAATATTTTTTGTTAGTACTGTGTTAAGATGGTACAAGATGGCTACATTATTTTGCTTTATACTCTTTCTTTAATGTGTAACACACCAAAAGGTCTAATTTATTATGAATCATAATGTTGTTACTTTTCTTTCCATAAGAATTCTGAAACACTTTTTTCTGAAACAGATTTACACAAATGACTACACTTACTGAATATTTAATAATTATTCCTTCTAAAGTTTCCAGTTGTGGTGAGTCAGAGCCAGAAGTTATCAGATGCTTGAAGTTGACTTTGATTAATTCAGTCAAGGGTGTAGTGAAACAGATTATTTCTTTGATGCATTCATGGGAGGCAACAGAAAACTATGGAACTTACCAGCACAAGCAAATAGTACCTGAAAGTTTACTGAAAACAGTTCCAAAGGAATGGAATTACACTCCTCGGGAAATGAAGAGAAAAGAGTCTGGGAAATGTAGGTGGCATTTATACTGTTTTATAAGTTTGTCATAAGAACTTGTTACACCTTTAATGCCTAAACTGGACAGTTAGATTTTGTGAGTGTTGTAGTTTGTCAGTAAACAAAACAATTTCCAAACATCCTGTGGTGGTTGGGGTTTTTTTTAGTACTTCTTGTTAAAATTCAGTTATTCCTTCTTGAGGCTTACACCATGCATACACAAACAAGGTTTTGAAAATAATCAGTATTGTAGTACTGATAATAATAATACTGAAGATGTTTTTAGCATCTGGCAGTAATAGGGTGGGATTCAAGGCAAAGTAAAAATAGTGTCTATGCTTTGGTCTCAATGGCTATAACCAGTTTTCCTTTTCATTATCATCTCCTCAGTCACGATTGTTATTCATCCCAACTTTACAACATAGCAATTTATGTTTGAATAAAAAAAACCACTGAAACTGTTATAAAATATGCTACTGCCTGGTTGTTGAAACAGTTAGTGAAGAAAGAAATAATATTTACAAGCGGAGATATTTGGAAGGTGATTAGATATAAAGTTGATTTCCGGTATATATTTTTATAGTCTAGAGTGCCTAAAGCATCTGTCATTTCAGAAGGTTAACTTTTGGAAACATTTAGTCATAAATTATTGCCACCAAAATATTACCTGATTATTTTCAATAATGTAGGATCACTGTAGTATAGCTTGGCATGAATTTTTGAATATGTAAATTGTGGCCAAGCCAGGGCATCAATGCATTCTTTCTTTCCATACATGTTCATTTCACTGCACTCTCACCTTAGTTTAGAACTTGTATGACTATTTTAGGTTATTGCTAAGCATGAATGGATATACAAACTGAGACATAAGGCTTAGGCTTAAAAGCAAATTAATTTTCCTGTGTGATGTGTAGAACANACATTATGATTCTTGTTCTTCCAATGAAAACTCCTTACCCTAGCATGTAATCCATAACCAGGGCTACAGATCTTATGGCTTTTTTTTAATTAAAAAAGTATTTAGAATGCGGGTGCAATGAGTTGGGGTTTTCTTGGATTGTTTGGGTTTTGTTTTGGTGTTTTTTAAAATCCTGGCTTAACTCCGTGTTGTGGATCACCTTTTACTATATTTTTTCATTTTAGATATGTTTTGAGCAGCATATTTTCTGTAGTTACTTCTGTAGCTACTTTTAATATCTGGAATCTTTAAAATGTAGTGCTATCTAGCGTAGATGCTTATATGAAAGCTGATAAACCGAAATTATTTAGGTCTGAACATAGGAAGTATTGATAGAAAACAAAAGATTATAAATGTAAGTAATATCCTGATACACTAAATGCAACGTTCCAGTCATGAAGTTGCAAAAGTATTATGATTCTGAAGACAACTTTTTACCATTCAGAATACCTGGGTGTTGTCTTTATCATTTATCCTGCAATGGCTATGTACAGCAAGACTAATTGTTAAGAGGGTCACAGTCTGAATTCTACATTTTCTAGGTTCTCTGCTTTTAATTTGTGTAATTGTTTAGGTTTTGGGGGATTTACCTGCAGAAACTATAATAGAAGTCAAGCTACACTGTTGAGTTCATAAGCTTTTTACCCATTTTCAGTACAAAAGGAAGTTAGAAATTATCATACAACATTCAGAAGCATGCTGTGATAGAACTATAATGTTAATGTTAATCATATCTTTTCTATTTTTAAGGCTTCACAAGGCTTGCAGCTCAGGCAGTATCTATTGTAATCAGCAAGTTACCTACAGTGATTGCATGTTTGCCTCCCCCAATTAAGTACTTCTTTTTTCTGGCTGAGAGAAAAATGTCAAGAAACTTTGCTGAATTGAAGAAAGCTGGTCTGCTTGTCTGGAACTTGATTCTAATTATATGTCGGATATTTGAGGATGGAAATACTGCAGAACTTTTAACAGGTGCAACACTTGACAGATGGAGCAAAGAAAAACTCAGTTTAGTTCGTGTGTGCTTAGAAAGTATTATGGGAAAACAGAAAAGTGGTCCTAAGCAAGTGACCCAGAAGGTTATACAAAACATTGAACAGCAGAGACCAAACTGGATTGAAAGCCAGTTGCTGAAGGCAAGAAAATTGAGCACAGACTGGTAAGAACATAGTACTTTTCAAATGCTGGTTGCTCTTTATTTTACTGGATTATTGGCACATTTATGGCTATTGTTTAATTAAAAAAAATAAGAGATGAGCAGTGATCTTATATGAAGCAGATTAGTTCTTAATATTGATGGCTTTATACCATGTGTTTGTAACTTAATTGTATTGTTGAAACAGTAAACCATGGTTGTTTCATCAAAACAGTGTCTTTTAGTACTACAAAATTTCATATTTTCGTGATGATCCAAAAATCTGGACAATTCTTATATAGAAAGATACAATTCTTGTATCTTTCAAAATGTGAACAAGTGCTAAATATATTTGTAATTCAATTTTGCTATGGTGAATAAATTAAGAGAGACTATGAAAAGCTGTCAGTATTCATTTGTGCAAAAAAAAAGTAAGCATACTTCATTCTAAAATCTTATCAAGCCCTCAGGGCAAGTAGATTATATCAAAACAGAGAATACCCTGCTGTGGCTTTCTGAGAAAATACCAGTCTTTCCTTCTGGTTTAACATTAAGGTCTGAGTGTTTTTAATCCTTACAGGGATTTTTCAAGAACTTGTGTACATGTCAATGTGTTCCTAGTCTAGTCTGCTTTAATATTGTAGTCATGTATCATTCTGTAAAAATACCGTTCATCAATTTTCCAATATGAGATTTATTTGAGTTACATGACTTACTGAATTAAGTTGTAGCTACTGAAAGTAAGATTGCTGCTTTTCTCAATGAATATTCTTGAAGGTTGTGGTCATTGCTATCCTGACAGTAACGTTTGGATTCGTGCTTATAAACAAAAGATATAGTGATTGCAGGCTTTCATTCAGTGCTTTAAAGGGCAGTATCCTATTTCTATGAGTGGTCAGTTATTGTGAGTAGCACTAACCAGTAACAGTGTCACACAAATGCTCATTGACATTGACCTTTGTAATATTTACTTTTCTATTTAATTCTAATTTACATGCTCTAATCCAGCGATTAAGATTGAAACCAGATGCCAGTGACTGAAAGAAGTGTACAATAAAAAACCCATAATGATAATATGTAAATTAATAGTTAACAGAAAGGTTCCATAACACAATTTTTAATGTCACTGAGAGAATAGGTAGTTCTTAAAAAATACAAATGGAGGATAAGACAATATTGTGGATAACCTTTAAAAACTAAAATTTTCATATGTAGCACTTCTTCTGAAGCTGAGAATTTTAAGTTAATACACTACTCTATTTTCTTACAGACTGCAGAAATGTTGTATTATATATTAGGTATCAGTCTGTGGAAAAGGAATGGGGGAAAATGTTTCCTATATGTGTACAGTGTCAACCAAAGAGAGAACTAGCTTGTGACTAGGGCTGCTAATTTTAAGCTTAAGATAATGAAGAATGCATTACCTTTTCTTTAAGTGAGTAGTTGAAATTGAGTCCTCTGACTTCAGTTGCATTTCTGCAATAGAATTCTAATGTAAACATTATTTTTCCATTTTTTATTCAAATATTATTAGTCAACATCTGGGGGAAAAAAAGGATCCAGTTCATAAAAAGATGAGATATGCAATGTAGAGATAAATATTATTATGAATGCTTATTATAAGGCTAATATATTAAAGCTGAAATTCAAATAGTCAATTAAAGTAAGTAACGGTCACATAATCATTAAACTAAAAACAATCAAGGGAGACTTACGATGTTCATGTGATTTCTTTGGAACAGAATGAGTATACTGGAAAATCTAAGTTGGTGTTATATAACCCTTTCTTATTAAAGGATTTTTTGGTGTAGATGTATGCACATGCATATATACATTTGTGGTTTTAAATGTTTATGGACTTCTAATAGATACAGTGTGTGAAAGAAAACAAAAACTATAAATTTCAAAAATTTATTTGATATTCACCTACATAGGTGTGGAAACAAAGTGCACCGAGTTTTTATAAGCAAAATTCTTACTTGATTTTGTGTTACGTTATTGTTATCAGGACTGCTACTTACATAAAAAGTCTAAGTTATGTATGGGTTCTTCCATTGTGGTGTAAAAATTTAACTTAATTTTTAAGAAATTTTTTAAAATAATAGTCCTAATTGAAAGGTTCAGAAAGTGGTAGTTGCACACATGTCCTACTTTATGTATTGCCTGAAAGCATTACTATTTATTAAAATAGCCTTCATTTTATGGTAGCACCAGAGCTGTAAACAGTCATATTAGATTCTGAAGAACATGTCCTGAGAAGAAAAGAAATGTCTATCTTTGCAAAGTAATTTGTTGAATTGAAGATTATTGTTTTTCATCATGATGACCCTGACCTTGCTGTCTGGGTGAATATACAGATTAAGATGAATGCAGTTATTCCTTGGCTGAGGTCTGCCTCTTTCAGGGCACATTCTTCCTAATGACATGATTGATAGGCAGTCCCAAATCCAGAGAGGAAGTCATTAATCATAGTGCTGGCTGAATCCAATCATCTGCTTCACCTGCACAGTGATGGGCAGTAAAGGATACCATTTGGGTGCTAGGACTGATACACTCCTTTATCAGAGGTCCTCAGCTAAGAATTTGGACAAGAAATTCAAGTTGTATCTGTACATAGCATCAAATATCAGCCTTAAGTGTGCTTTAATTTTAAAGATCAATTTCTTTTAAGCTTTTCTGTAAAATACACCATAATAACAGAGTATCACTTACTTCCATTCAGCAGAGAACAAAATTATAGTTTATATTTTGAAACTCTTTGCTCTGTAGGACATTCTGAAACTGCATGTGGAAACAATACCAACTTTAATGTCCAGCAGCTGTGCAGCATTTCAGAGACCCTGCAGGTCAAACAGCAACTTTCAGCAGAACTGACTTTGTCATTATGGCACACTTCCAACGATATACTGCAACCACAGTGTTTCGGGGTGTGGGGTTTTTCTTGGTTTTTTTTTACTTCTAAAACAATAAAATATTGATTTTTTTTTTAATTCCGATTTTTTTTTATATATTTTCAATTATTCTAATAACAACTGTAGAAAGAATAATATATTCTTGTTGGTCTTTCGAGTTCATGACACATATGTGTCAAGGTGCAAACAAATACCTGTGTTGCAGCTCTAGTATTTGAGGAAAAAATAGTTTTCATACTTCTTCTTTCGTAGACTTGGTCAGTAACAATACTGTGCTGGTATTTTATGCTTGTATGCAGAGAGAGCAGTCTGGGAATGATCAGAAATTTGAATGCACAATTTTAAAGGCACTTAGGAATGTCGTCTTCAGATTTTATTTGGTGTCAGTTTCACACAAATACAAGAAAAATAAGGAACAGTACAGGGCAAAAAGTTCAACAAGTGGCAAATAGGTACCTTTTAAATGGTTAACAACATACCAGTGGGAAGAAAAAGACTTCACTTTAAAACTTCTAACCTATACTTAGAGTAATGGCTACCTTTCTGACATGTTAATTAGGCTTTAATATGTGCAGCGACAGGCAAAGAAAAGTGCACAAAAGATCGAATGCAAATGCCATTTCTAGTAGCAAAGATACTTCTCTAGTGGAAAAGAAAACTAAAAAATATTTGCTGCTTGTATATCTTTAGAGTAAAGAATGTTTCATGTGTTCATTTTTCCAATTAAAGTCATTAAAATTAGAATAATAATGTGATTTGGCGTGTATTATGTATGTATATGAGATATATGTGGAACATTTCTGGAAGCCAAATATTTCTAATTTTTTCTTAGCATATAGTTTTAGCTGAGTTTGTATTAATATTTTGATTTTTAGAAATTTAACTTAGGACTGTTCCTATCTTTTCTGTATTCTAGTGCCACAGACACAGTAGAAGGTGCAACGTTAGAGGAAGGAGGTATTGCATTTGGATTCACTGAGCAGAAAATAAACATGATGGTCCTGGATATCTGCCACAAACCAGGTGGCAGCGAGTACCTGAGGCAAATTTATCACATCATCCAGCTCAATGAGGTAGGGAAATGGCCTTTTCACCGAGCAATTAGGTGTGTACTGGCCTGGGGCAGCGTCTGCTGGCAGTTAAGGGTTAGTCAAGGAGGTGATAATGGTTCTTCAAGTCGATATGAAATCCTATATTGTATTGTAATAAAATCCATTCAGTTTAGACTTTTCTGTGTTTCTATAGAAAAGATTACTTTATAGGAAACACTATGGATTTTATTTAGGTACTTAGACAGTAGTATGGCTCATAAACTTCCTTCAGTTTCATATTGTAGACCACAGACACATTTTAGGAGTTCGAGCACAGTAAAACCACTAAAAATTGAAAAAAGGAAGCAATTGTTGAAAAATTTACTGTTATGAAAAGTAAAATTAAATGTGGTAAATTAACTCTTCTAATTTAAAAAACAAACAAACGCTGTGGTTCTGCTGAGGAAGTAAATGCATCCACATGAAATCTTACTTCATCTAGACAACTCTATTCAACTTAAGTGCTTTTGAAGTTACAGTCAAGAAATTCAGTTTTGTTTTCTGCACATGGAATTTTAACAGCGTAAAAGAATTATGTCATTATTTCTAAGGCTGTATTAAATTCCCCCAAGTTACCAAAAACATTCTGATTTTATTCACTGAAATAAGCACAGGTTTGCTTAAATTGTATGATAACACAGATCTACCCAGCTTAATTCAGAAAGTTCTGTTTATTAGCTTTAATTACTAAATTAGTATTCCTTGAATGCATAAGCAGGTCCTGTTAAGACCACTGCAGGTGTACAGAAGTGTTTGTAATAAAATGCAAAAAAATGCAAATATAGCCAGAGACTAGGATTTTTCTTTTTTAAAAAAATGATAGCATAAAACCCCAATTAGACAGTTATGTCTATATGAATGCCATACAGAACATCTTAGTACTGTCACTGTGCTGCTGAAAATGAGATCAACTGTTTAGTTCCTAACTATAGGCTTAAAAACAATCCTTATGCATCTGCATTTGGAAATGTTAGAAGCATGTATGTAGAAATGGCAACGTAACAGTAATACAGCACAGAATCTTTTCAAGTTTCATGTCAAACAATTAACTGGTTTGGGAAGTGAAGTGAAAATTATTACTGTAATAAACAAAACCTTTTCACCTGGAGCACATTCAGGATTACTCTTAGGTATAACAATGAGGAAAAGATGATGAGCAAGACCTCCAAAAATAGCATGTAGTCCAGTAGTTAGGGCAGTCGCCTAGGGACAGGATATGCAGGCTCAGATCTTTTTTCTTCCTGGTTTAGATCAGGGAATTGAATCTGTATCTCCCACATCCAAACTAAGTCCCCAAACCTCTAGACCATTAGCTACCAGCATGGAACTCCTTCTTTTTCCCCTGTTGGAGTTGTTTTACCATGTAGAAATTGCTGTAAAAATGCATTCTGTAACTTTTAGGGTCAAAAATAGAATCATACTCTAGTTGAAGGAATAGGATGCACATACTGGGTTTTGGAGACCTGATCCAAGATCCAACTCCTGTGAGTATTCAGTTATTTATACAAAGTGGAGCAGCTCTAATAGGAGGTAAAAAGCTGAGAGAATTTGGTGGAAGAGGGATGTCAGCCTGACTTTCCACATCCCAGGTGTCTCTCTTTGAATTTCTGAATCAAGAGCTTTGTTAATTATAGAACATTTCTTAGTGGAAAAAAATGTATTTTTTTTTTTAAAAAATAGAGATCCTGACCAGATTGACTCGCAGAAGGACTTAACTGTGTTAGTTTGAATTGCCTTTGAAACCATTACAAAACATTTTAATGCTGAAATTATGTTTAATATGCCTGACTACCAAGAAATAGCCTTGATTGTTCAAAGATTCACCCTTTTGTTTAGAGACTCCTTGAACTGTAAAGGGACTGTGTTCTTAAAATTAGTTTAGAGATCTTTATGCTCCACTGCTTAGTAATTGTGTATGAGAACAAAATGTCGAGACAGAAAATTGTCTTCTTAATAATATTCCTTAGAAAAGCAGGTGAAAAGGGATATGGATTCTTGGAAACTGTATTTGAAAATAGAGATATGATGTTATAAAGTACTGTAGTACTCAAAACACCCTACAGTCCTTAATGTATTTATTAAAAATAATAATTTTTAAAAGCATTTTTTACTAATGGCAGCCAAAGAGAAAATTCCTTTGAGGTGTCAAGCTCAATAACATTCTGTCTTCTTGGTTTCATGCCCAGTGCAGTGAGGATATAGTTCAGATGTTTACATATGTGATTTAATATTTTCACATTTTTGAAACATGACCCTTTCAGAGCATACAATATGTACTATACTAAGGAGATCTTAAAATAATATATTTACCATTGTTGAATAAGTCTCTTCCTGAAAACGTAAATCCATAGTATCCCAAAGACAGAAAAAACCTGTAGTGGGAGGTGAGCTGTATACCACTTGAATTGTTCAAACCCTAGCAAGCATGGACAGATATTTCCAGTATCGCCTCTGAAAAACTGACACAATGTGCTTCTACTGGCTCTGTGGCATCCAGAGGGCTGGGTTGCTTTAGTACTGTCTACAGATTTTGTGAAAATGTGTACATGGAAGCCAGTAAGTTTATGAAAATTTGATAAATTTATAGAAATAGCTTTTAAATAACATCCTTCACAATAATTCTAAGACCTTTTTTTATGGCATCAAGTCATGAATGAATGGGGAAAACCCAGATATTTTGGAAGGCTGAAAAAATATAGGTAAGAGATTTAGCGTGGTTTGTGATGTTGTTTTAAGTGAAAAAAGCTCATTTTTCCCCTTTTGTTTTTTGTTTGTTTTTGTTTTGGGTTTTGTTTGTTTGTTTAAAATACACACTTGTCGTGGTCAGTCCTGACTTTTGACTGCAATCAGCAGAGAGAGGCAGCTCTTGCCTTTGAGCTTTTCCACTCCTAGACCTCCTTTTGTATTCATATTAGAAATTGTGAGGCTTATTTATCTGCATGAAACCTTTCTTTTTTTCTGGCTAGTTTCACAACATATCTTAGTGCCAACACAAGAGAGAAACAGTCTGTGTGGATTGAAAGGGAACTTGTGCCTTTCAGGCCAGGCCACAGCTGGATAAGTGTAAAAGAATGATCAAATTCTTCTTTTAGAAAGACCCACTGAGGGACACAGGGTGCCTTGGCAGGTAGTTTACATGTTCTTTTGCCTTAGTAGCACTGCAAATAAGAGCAGCATTTGCTCCCATCTTAATGAAGACTCACCTGGAGTATATGCTCGGTGTTATGGCAATCCTATCATTATGGACTTCATTTTAATAACAATAAACTGCTAAATCACTGTAGTTCTTCCAGCACATAGATGTGTAAATGTTTCATTATCTAGCTCTTCATAAAATGGTTCTATTTAATCAAAACACTTCATTGGCATGCAGTGATGATTTATTTACATAGTAGTTGAAGAAGTGAAAATAGGAAAGATTGTGTCCAAAATAATCATGCATCTGTTACACTATAGTTTCTAAAATTGCCATGTAAATAATAAATTACTTCTAGTCTTTGAATGCTTAAATAGTTAAAAATACCTTTGAAAAGTGAAGTGGGAGAGTATTTATTTCCTGTGTTTAAATAACTGGTTAGAGCATGTTCATCAAACAATTGATTCGCAGTCATGTAGTAACTATTGAATGTTGTTCAAAAAGTTTAATAGAAAGTAATAAAAAACATTTGTTGTTCACTTCCACTAACATATATATGTATTAAATGAGAACTTATATGCAGAATTTGATGACAATTTCCGAACAATAGCTTAGATTATTCCGATTTGCTTCAGTTGGATGTTCTTGGAGGTTATTTCTTGTTTGCTGTAAAATGGTGATACTCTTAAAAAGGTTTCTATTTCTAAGAGATTGCCTATTCCCTACTGTATTATAAGGAACTTTTATCAAGCATACTGTAAAGTTATGCTTGAAATGTAGGTAAATTTCGCTTAGAAAGCTAGGTCACCTATAGTGTTCTGTGGTTGCTTTTTGTTCCAAAAGGAATATTTGAAAGACCAACTGTCTTGTGAGAATTCTTCTGAAGATGGTGTTATGTCCAGTCAATGCCTGCCTTTGACGCTGAAGGGCAGAGAAGAGCAGCCTGTCTTCAACCCTTTCCAGGTGTACAGACAATCTTGTGCAAAAGTGTTCAATCAGGTTTGTGAAAATCTGAAACCTTGGTTATAGCATAATTTTTACTTGTCAGTCTTATTGTGATAATGACAGATACTGAATTTATGAAAGTGGAATTAATTACATGCGTGCATGTGATGAAGTGCGAAGGAATATTATTACTCGGGAGTCTAATGAGGATACCCTCTACTACAGCATGATCTTCAAAAAGCCATTATTGTCCTTTTCCTTTATCAGAATTATTGCACGTAGGAGCAATTTGCATTTACCAATACCTTCTGTGTCCAGTATAGTGAAGGAAAGCCCATAAGTAGCAATGACATTTATTACATGTGTGCAATGGTACACAGGGTTAGTCTTAATCCTTTTAAAGTCATGGCAAAACTCCAAATGCACATTTAGAATTTTCCTGATGGGTCTTTTGCAGGATTGTCAGTTAAGTAAAGGATACTTTGGAAATACAAAGATTTTACAAAACAGTGAAACTAAGCAGAGGTAAAACACAAAAGCATGAAAGCATCAATTTCTCCATTTTTCCTTAAGTTGTGGTTGTAATATGTAAAGGATTATAATTTATTTATAGAATTTAGTTTTCTGACAATGTAACAGAAAAGAAATCTGGTTGCCTGAATCTCTGCTGAAGTACCTCATTACACAAAATGGTATATAGTTTCTGATAGCACTTAAAAAATCTTATACCATTATTTCTCATATGTTCTTAATACATGATCTGTCATTTTGATTCTGGCCCTCAATTCAAATATTTGAAAAGAAATGGTATTATAGTGGTGTGAAATTCACTTTACAGACTTGTGGTAGAAAGGCATCCTTTTTTCAGCACAGGTGTGCTTATACACAGTGTAATCTCCTTTCCCAAGTTTGACTATTTTGGATTATTTCACCAGTTATATTGTGGTAAAATATACTGTTTTCTCTTACTTGTTTAATGAATGCTTAATCATTGTCGTGTTCCAATATCCTGAAGAAGATGAATACTAACTCTACAAGGCTTCTCACTCCAGAGAAACATGCTTTATAGAATCATAGAATCAACAGAATCATTCAGTGGTTTGAGTTGGAAGGGACTAGAAAGAAACACAGAATCACAGAATGGGTAGGGTTGGAAAGGACCACAGTGGGTCTTCTGGTCCCACCTCCCTGCTCAAGCAGGCTCATCCTAGAGCACATTGCACAGGATTGCATCCAGACAGTTTTTGAATATCTTCAGTGAGGGAGACTCCACAACCTCTCTAGAAATCTGTTCCAGGGCGTGATTACTCACACAGTAAGGAATTTCTTCCTCATATTCAACCTAGAAAGCCAACTGTATCCTGGGCTGCATCGAATGAAGTGTGCCCAACAGGTCAATGGTGGTGATTCTGCCCCTCTACTCTGCTTCAGTGAGACCCCACCTGAAGTGCTGCATCCAGCTCTGGGGTCCTCAACACAGTAAGGACATTGACCTGTTGGAGCGAGTCCAGAGGAGGACCACCAAAATTGTTAGAGGGATGGAGCACCTCTCCTATGAAGAAAAGCTGAGAGAATTGGTATAGAGAAGGCTTCAAGATGACTAATTGCAGCCTTCCAGTATCTGAAGGGAGCCTACAAGAAAGATGGAGAGGGACTTTTTACAAGGGCATGTAGTGACAGGAGAAGGGGAATGGCTTCAAATAGAGTGGGTTTAGATCAGGTGTTAGGAAGAAATTCTGCACTGAGGGTGATGAGGCACTGAAACAGATTGCTCAGAGAGGTTGTGGATGTCCCATCCTGGAAGTGTTCAAGGCCAGGCTGGTTGGATCTCTGAACAACCTGGTCCAGTGAAAGGTATCCCTGCCCATGGCAGGGGATTGTAGCAAGATGATCTTTAAGGTCCATCCCTTCCAGCCCCAACCATTCTATGATTCTATTCTATGATTCTATTTCCCAATGATATTGATATTGATAATGATATTGATAATAATGATATTATTAAATAGCTTAATTCCCTTTACCATAAAATTGTGGATTTATTAAGTAGCATGGAAATGTTGATTTTTATAGCAGTGATCAGTATAGCTGAGAGTCTGGTTTCCTGTGAAGACTGTTACCAGTGCCTTTAGAAGATGCCAGAGTACTGGCAAGGAACAATTATTCTTCTCAGTAGATGTATTTGTTCTTAAATTCATTTGTTACTGATTGGCAACTGCCATGAAGCTTAGGAGTTTATAATCCATGATTAATTTTTTATTTTCTTTGTCTTTAAGTGGATATGTTTTTAATACATCAATCTATATTTTATCCTTTTATATAGAGGATATATCCTCTTGTTCTAGAGCAAAACAAGCTACTAGTTTCACAACACATTTTGTCAATAATTAATTATGTATTGCTTTTTAAAAGTTTTCTTTTAGAAGGACCAATTGGAATACACTTGGCAATACTGCCTAGTGCTTCAACTCTAAACAGAGAATGTATGTTACACTATGTATGTGGCCTACCATAACATGTAAAATGTGTTACACCAAATATATTACATAACTATATAGGAGCATGTCTACACTGTGCAGTGTAGATATACTCTTAGCTTCCTCAGTAGATGATTTCTCAAAATAAGTTAATTCAAAAGCTTTCCAAAAGATAATTGTTAGTAAACATTTTATGTATTGTTTGTTACTATATGTAAAAATCACTGTACAGCAGGGTGATTGACTTTTTTGGTTGAGGAATACATTTAGTGAAGGTAACTCAGTGTAGAGCTGCAGTGGGAGCTGCAGATTGAGCTCTGGGTGAGAGAAATGATGGGAACCAGAGTCAAGAGGCCTTGAACTGGCCGAGTATCTTTGCATAACAAAGGGCATGGGGACCTGTGGCACCGGCCAGGTGACTGAACACTCAGAGACAACAGGAGCCCTCTGGAATACACTGGGCTATCCAGTGCTTAAACTGTGAAAGTATGAAATCCTGGGTAGTCCTTTATTCAGAGTCCTCCTTGGAGAAACCCAGCTGAAGCTGTTATTTTGTTGTTGCACTGTGATAAAATTATTTAAAGGACCCAGATGTCTGAGACTGCTGTGGAAAACTTTGTTTGACTGCATGAGAGTGGGTTGTGTAGGGAGTCAAGTGGGGAACCCATCGACTCTCTGAAACTGCCTGCTGCAAAGTGGTCTCGGTCCCAGCTGTTAAAGTCTCTCCTGGTGGTGGAGTAACTGACAGAGTGGCCCTGAATGATCATACAGGAAAGCTTCCTTAACTTTGTTCTAAAGTTTTGTGATATTGTCCCAATTGTGTCAAATTTAGCAAGGTATTTAATCATAGTTTCTATGAATTTTACTGCTCCTGAAACAAGGATCACCGAACCACTATTTTGAGATCAACTCTAGCATTTTTGTTAATGATATGTAAATATCTTACCTCCAATACTCCAGTTCAGTAGCTGATTCTAGGAAGTGTGTAATTTCTGTTAACAATTTAACCACATCATTCTTACATTTCTGTAAAAATCTTGAGTAATCACCATCTGGTTCTCGTCACTTTGTTGCTCTTGGTTTTATCTATTTGTCCGGACACCTTAATCTCTGTCAGTGCTACTGCTCCTCTATTGTCTAATAAACTAGGATATGCAACTCCTCAACAGTATCAACAAATGCTACAAAGGAACTATTTTCCTTTCTTGAAGTAACTTTTTCAAAACTGATCCTTTATTTTTTCCACAGAACTGATCAGTCTGATGGACTGAATTTTTATCAGGTTTACCTATACATTTTTGTCTTTGTTTCCATGATTGTTGCTACTGGGTGTTTAGCTTCTCCTTTTTATCCCTCTTGATTTTACAAGTATTTCCTCCATGTTTATTTATCTGCTTTTAATTCAGTGTAGTGTTTAGAACAGTGTCCTGTTTTCTCCTGTGTTCTTCTTCTTGTACTGTTCTCTTAGTGGACTCTTTTACCCTTATTTCTAGTTTATCAGGAGTTCACCATTTCTTCTTCATTCACTTTCCACTTTCACATTCTTTTGTTCTTTCTTTAGCTACCCTTTTTTTCCATTTGTACTCTGTATTTCACCCTTTTTTTTCTACTTAACTTTAAAGTGCATGTCCGAGATGAGGGTTAGGGAGTAAATTAAGTAAGGAGAAGGAAAGTAATAAAATAAAGATGGAAGGAATAGGGGGGATTGCACTGATTCTGTTCTCCCAGAAGATCTAAGTGCTGTCTGTAAGAAGGCAAAGATGCACTCCAAGTTATACTTTACTATATTTAGGTTTATTTTCACTGTTTTGAAAAATCATCATGAAAAGATGAAACCCTCTAACTCTACTTTTTAAGTGTTAATGAGCCAGGTGTTGCTTTATTCTGGCCAGAGATAGGTAGTGAATCATTCCAGCTACTTACGTCCCTTTCAAGACTTTTCACATATTTATACATTTTGGCAAACAAAGAAATTAACAATCATTGGTTCTGAGTTACACAATTCTCTTCACTTAATTAATATTCTCTCCTTTGTTGGCTAATTTGGTCTGCATTCTTTGGTCCTGTTATCATTCTTCCTTAGACAGAGAGTCTCCAACTTTCAGGCCGTAATGTCTTTGTTATCCCCTCTGTATCTTCTGGTTACTCCAACATGTCTTTGAAGGACCAAAAATTGTGACATCCTGGATGTCCAGTCCTCAGTTCCCTTAAGCTTTGTTTATTGAAGCTTATCAGAACTAGTCCAGAGAAACTCAAATCTTTGCTGATTTCAAGATCAAACCGCCAAGAGTCCATAAAAAGAAAGGTAACCACTTGCTACCATTAGTTAAAGTTTAGGAAAGTTATATCATTTGCAACATCACAACAGTAATTTTTTAATTATTTCCTCCCACTAATGTTGAATTCTGGTCACTACTAAACTATTGCTGACAATGAAAAGTAATATTATTCAATAGGACTTACTGTTTTGTAAACAAAATAATGTTATGTGTGGTCTTTTGGCTGCCCGTAATTATTCTAGATTGCTTTTATTATTGAATATGGAGTTATATTTGTTCATATTGTATAGGTGTACTGCTGTTCATAATAACTATCTGGTGACTGGAGTGCCTTACAAAACAATAGGCAACTAAAATCACGCTAATTATGATACAGGTTACATCTTGAATTCTAGCTATACCGAGTTTTTAATGACAGACTCTTCACCGACAGCAGAAAATAAAAATTGCTGTTACAAAACTATTTTGCTTTTCAAACAAAGAGTCAGCTCTCAGACAAAGTGGTTGGGCACAATGCCATTAACAGTTGAAAGGATAAATGTTCAAAAAAATGATTTATCTTTTTATAAACAATGGCTACATCCCTAAATGATTTATAAACTAATTGCCATCTTACTGAAATAAAACTTCTCTTCTGTGGACATGATTGATGTCCTCTTTCTAAGTCCTGGTTCTAGACACCCCCTCCTTCTTGGTTAGTATATCACAGCTGGAGCTTTAATGTACTGATCACATTAATGCTGATTAATAACTAACTAGCTTCTTTCTATGTATCAACAGTCAACCAGTACTGAATGGAACTGGGATTGGTCAAACTTGCTGCCAAGTTGCTTGGGATTGAATCAGATGACCTTCAGGGTGCTGCTGACACACAGGTAATGGGATTTTGGCAAATAATCATGCTTTCCTCTTATGTTTTTGACTTTATGATAGCCAGTACACACGGATTTTATTGGTGAAATTTGTAAAATATATTTTGCATTTCTTTTTAAATATGCAATATTAAAATGGAGCTACTTTTTTCTAGTGTATATAATCCATACTCAGATGGTTTTTGATTCCTATTTTGAGGAATCTAATATGTTCTTCCTGTCTGAGACAGAAGGATATGAATGTGTGTTGATATTACTCTTAAATAATGCTTTAAAAAGAAATTAGTAACTTTTGCAAATCTGTTCTGCTCAGGGAGATTTCAGCACAAAATTTAGAGCATGTTTACTCAAGTTGCAAGGTATCTTAAATTTGTTTGGGAGCATGACAAGTGTAGCTAGAAAGTGTTTCCTTAGTAGTTTTTAATTAATGAAAATTATTTTAATATTTTATTGCTTTTTTACCTGTAAAATTTAACTACTTAATTTTTAGGCAGATATATTTACTGCAAAATTAAATTACTGCTGTTTCTGTTAAATTCAGAAACAGCAACTTATTAAGTTCAGAAAATTTTAGGTGGAAAAACTGGGTATTTTTCTAAAATATTTCCTACTTACGAAAACTGGAAAATTTTCATGTTGCAAACTAGACATTCCCTTCTTAATTCTGAACCCTCCTGATGATACCTAATATGGTCCTACAATTCATCTTTTAAACTGAATTGTTTCTCTATCTAGAAACGAGAGTAACAATTTCAAAAGTGTGTCAATTTGCATGTTAAAAATGTTTTAGTTTTTTATACCATTTTCTCAATTTATCACTAGCAGTTAGTCTTAAACATTTACTTCTTCCTTTATTTCATATATAAAATATTTGTAGAGTCTATTTCTAATCTTCTTTCTTAATTTTGTTAAGTTTAATTTTTTCCCAACACAAATTGTTCTTTCCAAAATTTTAATGCAGTTGCCCAAAAAAATCCTGCTGGCAGAAATTTGCAATTCAGTTCTCCTCTCAATGTCCTCTGTTACCCACTACCAGGCAGAATGTGAGACTTCACAGACTTTTTGATCTGTACCCAGTAGTCTTATTTTTATGTTAAATGACAGAGACAATTCAGTATTAATTTTTTTTTCTTTGATGGTTCTCCTCCTGATTACTATTTCTTCATTGAAAGTGAAGTAATTTGTCCTTTTAACATTGTCATAGAAGGTCTTAGAAGCAGACTGGTTCTTGAACTTCCCTTCATGTTGATGTCATCAATATAAGCCAAATGTAGCAGAGGGTTGCTGTGATTTGTAGAGGGAACATTTTACATGAACATTTCATCTGCTCTGTTCTCTTGAAGCACATTTTATTTTTCTTTTGGTCTCTTTATAGAGTTTAGAAAGAAGTAATGTATATGCCTTCTCTGTCCTTCTCTCTATTTCACGCCTTTGTCATATCATCTACTGTTGCTTTTTTTTTTTTAATTTAATAAGTGCCCTAATTGTTGTCATCCTTCCTAATTCAAAAATGTCTCCATTCATTGCCCTTCTGCATGATATGGAAATTCTCATCTAGAAGTGACATTATGCAAGCCATTAATGATTAGCTCATGGATTTATTATTTTAACCACTCTACTTTACAGATCAACAGATTGTTTAAATCCATTGTGATGATTAACTAGAATTGCTGATCCGGTATCTGCCATAGTGACCAGTATCTCCAACACAACTTGTCATTACGTGACCCAATTTTTAGCATAGTTAATGTATGTCTGCACATATTTTCCTGCTGACTAGGACAGTTCTAGCTGATCTTGTGACTACTCAAGCAACCTTTTGCAGTGAGACTCAGGTGAGCACTATCTTTTGGTGATGCTCCATGATCCTTCCTAGAATTGCATAAATTTCAGTCATCTTGTGCTCAGGAGTTAAGGTTCAAGCTGAATGAGTGTGTGATTATTTTGACCTCCCATTTACGGTGGACCCATTTCATTTCTACTATTTGCCTCCTGAGATGAGTTAAACAAAACCAAGGGCAGTCCTTGAACTGTGTCAGAACCATAAGTTTATGAATTGGAGTACCATAATATTTTAATTATTCCTTCTTTGACACATGCTAAAACTTTCCCTGATCAGTTACTTCTCTTCAGGCAAAAATATTTTTTATTAATTCACAGTGATACTGGAGAGATATATTTCCTTTTTTCATGTTAAAGAGAAAATACTGTCAGTTGCATATGAAATAAAATAAATACTGTCTACTCTGGCAGAAAAAAAAGTGAAAATGCTTAGGGGACTCATTTGCAGTGGAAATGCTCCCTTAACCTAGTTAATGACTGAGTTAGGTGAGAGGGGGTTATGAGAGCATTGTCCCAGAGCCAGCAAGTGTTAAACAAATTAATTGGTTGGTGGTTAGGGGAAAGTAAAAGCGTTTTAGGACTGGTTAAAAAGGGAATGAATTGTTGTCTACTACTCATTGCTGGCTCCACACTACTGTGTGGATCTAATCCACACATTCTTATAATCCTCAAACTAAAAGCATTCAGGTAGATTTTTCAAATTAAAGATGTAGATGGTTAATGATATTATTTTATTTCAAGGTTATAAAATATAGAATGCTATCAGAAGCAGTAAAGAGTAACATGGAAAACTTAATGTTCATCTGCGTTCACAATTAATACCTTTAGATTATGTAAGAAACTTTTCCTACAGGAAGAAAAGGGAAATATAAGGGATTTCTTTCCTTTCTAGTTTTACTTCTGGTTTGGTTTTCTTTTACAAACATATATATAGGTAGTTTGAACTACAAGAGTAAAAGTTAAAACATACCTTTCAATAATACCTTTTAATATTGTCTGTTAACATTCAACTAACTTATGAACTTGTCTTACCCAAGTTTTAGAAAATATCCTGCATGCTTACACAGATGCATGCTGCTTTGTTGGATCTCAGAACTCACCTGTACGTCCTGAGACATTTCAATACCAAATGGGAGCTCTTTACGTCTAATACATGTATTAAAGTGAGAAGAGCAATTATTATTTAATTCACCTGTATCTCAACTTTTAGTTACTGATCTGCTCATAAAGCAAAAGTTGTTATTGTCTGGCTAAATCAGCATGTTGAAAATGTTTCTGCAGTTTAGTGTAGCAACTCTTAGTTAGATCTCTTCTTTTTAACTGTCTGGCCACTGTCTCTCTGCGTATTATTATGTTAGTGACTGTGGTGAGTTGTTCCTGGCAATGTCTGTATAGCTGATGGCTTGCTCTGCCTTCAATGGAGTTGGGGAGGGAACCGGAAGAGCAAAGTGAGAAAACTCCTGGGTTCAGCTAAAGACATTTTAATAAATGAAGCAGCACAAGTAAGCAAAGCAAAACAAGGAATTCATTAGTGCTTCCCATGCACAGGCAGGTGTCCAGCCGCTTCCTGGAAAGCCAGGCACCACACACTTAATGGTTACAGGGCTAGGGAAACGCCATAGCCCCAAACATCCCCCATTCCTCCTCCATTCCCTAGTTTTTATTGCTGAGCACATTTATATGGTATGGAATATCCCCTTAGTCATTTTGGGTCAGCTGTGCCCTCTCCCAGCTTTCTGCACACCTCCAGCCCATAACGTGGTAGGGCAAAGTGGGACAAAGAAATGGCCTTGGTGCTGTGCAAGCAGTACTCAGCAACAGGCAAAATGCTGGTGAGTCGTCAACACTGAGCTACAAATCCAGAGCACAGTACCATACATTACCCTTCTTGTTTATGTACTCTCCTTTATACCGATATATAAGTTAAACTTGTGATCATTTATTTTTAAAGTATCTCAGGAACTTGTACATGGTTATAAGATATTATTATTTTGCTGGGCTTTGATATGTGACCTTCACCTTCCCTCTGCAGTTCTACAGAACTTTCAGATGCCCTGAATACTTTACTATGAAGAATAATTACATTCTGCTCAGCTATAATGATGAGAAAAAAATTAGGCATTTTTGTAACATGTGAAACCATTATCCAGTTGCAATAATTTGCTGTTCTGAAGAGCAATGGCTGGGTTTTCTTCCTCTGCACTTAGGCAAGTTTCACAGAGCACTGGTGCCAGTGCAGGAAAATAAGTAGTGATTTGGTTGGAATGGTGTGGATCCTGCTACAGGAGAACTCTGAGGAAAATAGGAATAGACAGAGAAGAACTCATGACTGGCAAAGCCAATGACAGTCAGGTACAAGTTCTTCAGAACAGAAAATGTAACAACTTAATAATTGAGAAGGGAATGATAACACATTTTGTCATAAGTGCATCAGGTGAGAATACCAAGTTAGAAAAACTATAGAAATTAAAACTAATATTTGTTCAAGTGGATAGGAAATGCCATGAAAAATGTCTAGACTGAAAAGGAGAATATGATTTCCAATAGATATACCAGTGTAGCTCAAGAAGAGTTTTCCAGAAAGTGTTTACACAGTGAATTGACCTTAAAGAGTTTTAGGTTGAGATAGTGTCTAGTCAAGTTTCAGTCATGCGTTCCTTTGATAGATATTCTGAAAGCAGCTTCTGAAAGCAAGTAGGAAACCTGGAGTTGTTTATATATTGACTTTAAGGAAATTTAAAAAAATTAATGTTTATTTTCTACTAAAACTGGGTAAAATATGTAACTATGCTTTCTAGTAAAATTTACTGCTAAGTATACAAAAACTCACATCCCTTGGACTCCAGATTATTTCTTAGCATAGTCCAGACTGCATTCTCTGATGAACTGGTGGGCTGTTTGAAAGTGAAACGGCTTTTTAGGGAGGAAATAACTATTGTCGGCAGCAAGGTTTTGCTCTAAGGTTAAGACAGTCTTGTATCTAGTGTCTCTGTTTTGAAATCCTTTTCACTGTATTGATTTTGCAAATACATTTCTTAATATAGTTGTGGCATTTGTCCCCACATTAGAGCTAGGTGATAAAGTTATATGTTTTACCATTGATTAAGTTTAGTAGAACTGAAATTAAGTCAAAAGCTCTTGTTTCGAATTCTGAATGATTG